GTTTTAGTAAGGGTGTAATAGGTGGTTTAATTCTATTTGTGAATCCCATGGTGATTGTAAATGATAATATCAAGTATTTTGTCAATAAAATTGTTACCACTTTTTTGTTGTACTAAGTGAGAAAAAACCTCTAGTTTGTAAATGAGTGAGATGTTTGGCATCACTCAAAACTTGAAAATCATCTGAAGAAATATGAGAGGGAGAAATGTTACCCCTATATCCATGAGAACCAAATATAATGTTGAAGTCTCATATACAACACCATGGAATAATTGTCATATGAAATTCATCACTAAAATTTTTCTAGAGCTGTGTTCTCTTAATATAATCAGTAGCTACATAAATAACCCTAACTCTATAATATAAATTATTATGAATAATATAAAAGATAATATGTTGGTATGAAGCTTGGATAACAAAAGGATGTTATTAGTAATAGGCTTTATCAAATGCCTATTACTAATAACACAATATTTCAAGTGAAAATTTATCCAAGGTTCATAAACAATAAAAATCTTTGTGATGATGAATTATCCTTTTAAAATTTAATACAGAAAGCAGGCTGGCTATTCCTTTAATATTTCAAAAAAAAAAAAACACTGCTTTGGACAAGTTTCTATAACCTCTCCCATGGAGGGGTTTTAGTTTCTTTTCTTTAGATTTTATCCTCTCTACCATTTTTTTTCCTTTTTTTTATAGCATTCATATTATTTGAACCATATGAGGTATATTATAATTATTGTCAATAGCCATAATTTTCGTCGGTGGAAATTGATGCTCTATTGTACGCTTTCTTAAGTTCGATAGTCATTCTTCTAAAAAATAAATTTTAAGCACATAATTAACCGGAACTCGTGATACCACTTGTTAAACGATAGACTTTGATCTAGAGAGGGTGAATAAATCACAAATTTAAAATAAACTTTTTGCAAAAATGATTTTCAAAAGTTTTATGGCACAATGAAAGAACCCGAATCGAATCGTCTAATCGAACCTACTATCGAAAAGCTTGAATGTGAACAAAGTTACACAATTGAATGATAATGAACACAAATTATTCAACAACGATTAATCACAAACCAATAAAATGATAAGCTACACATAGAGTTTATTCCCAATGGTCAAAAAATCAATTAAAAGCACTAAAGAAAATTTATCGAACACTTTGTTTGTAATCGATAACGTTTGTAAATTTAATTTGTTTTGTTGACGTTAAAGCCAATCACAAACAAAGTGATTATTATTATATCAACAAATCTTAATTCAAAATGTAATTAAAATTAATTTCCAAACTAATTGATGAAAACAATAAAAGTTCGATTATATATATATATATATATATATATATATATATATATATAAATATATATATATATATATATATAGAGAGAGAGAGAGAGAGAGAGAGAGAGAGAGAGAGAGAGAGAGAGAGGAAGAGAGAGAGAGAGAGAGAGAGAGAGAGAGAGAGAGAGAGAGAGAGAGAGAGAGAGAGAGAGAGAGAGAGAGAGAGAGAGAGAGAGAGAGAGAGATTTGTTTTGGCAATTCCTTAGTCGACTTCAATACGGGTACGCCTGCCCTCATTTCCAATTCGAATTGATTGTGTGTATCTATAAAAAGAGGTTGAAGATATGAGTATCTTAGTAATTCTGGTTTTACACTAGTACCTTTCTAGAAAATGATGCATGTAAGTGTGTATATATGTATGAGAGATATGAAGTAAAAGGAATGCAAGTGGATGGGAAAAATAAATTTTTTGAGAAAAGACATCGTGTTTGTAGGCCTATTAAAGCAATAGGTCGGCCTATCAAGGTACTCAGGTCGTCCTGTGAAGGTCTCAGGTCGTCCTGTGAAGGTCTCAGGTCGACATTTGAAGGTCTTGCGTCAACCTTATGTTAACCTAAGTAAGGCAACCCTATGGGCAATGGTTGGAGGCTTTATTATTGATGCATGGGTGTCAACCTAAGATGGTTATGTGTCGACCTATTGTGAATTTCAAACTTCTATAGGTCGACTTAAACACGTATGTGTCGACCTAAGATGTATTGTTTTCACAAAAAACATGTTTTTCAATGTTTTTTTCAAAAAACCTTGTTTTCAATGCATGTATGATGTAAAATCCTTTTTCAAACTATTTTAATACTCTCTAATACTAAGATGCTCATCTAAAATATGAGAATACCGTCCGATATATATTAACGCTACACTATCCTAATTTTGACATTATTCAAATACACCTAACAGAAAGTAGCACTCACACATTCATGCTAGGTGACCTTGACATGGTGTAATGAGGGGACAATTTCACATTCCTCTAAGTATTTGGCAAAAGACCTCGGATGTTGTTCACCTGAACCGTCATATCTATCGTAATATTCACGGTCACAGTCTGATTTGACACTTTTAATTCTTTTATTTAGTTAATTCTCAACTTTAGTCTTCAAATGATTTGAACACATCCAATTAGTGATACTTTTCATGTATAAGTAATATGTATGCATATCTAGATTAATCATCCATGAATGACATAAAATATTATTTACCATTCCAAAAAGGTGTGAGAAATGATCCACAAATGTTCATATGTATCAATTCTAAGACATATGCAACTCTATATGCACCAAATTTCTTTCTTTATTTTAACGCACTCAACACAAACATCAAGCTTGTGAAGTCAATGGAATCAAAAGTTTCATCTGACACTAGTCACTTAACTCTATTTTTAGAGATTTGACTTAGGCGTTTCTGCCATAATACTCTTGAATTGTTATTATCAATTTTACCCTTAGTACCACATGATTCCACATTTAAGGATTCACTATAGGTAGCTACCGTGTCAAGCAAATATAGATTAACATTACCCATAAGTGAAGAAGTTCCAACAATATATGAATTAAAAGTTAACTTGAATATATTATTTTCAAATGAATATAAATAACATAATTTGTCCAAATACAAAACTGAAATCAAATTCACTCTAAATGACGGTTCCAAAAAAGTGTCTTTCAAATCCAAATAAAATTCAATACGCAATAATAATCTAAAATGCCCTATAACTTTCACCCTCACCGACTTGCCATCTCCAACATAGATGTATTTTTCAACATCATTTTCCTTCTGGTAGTTCAAGAAACCTTGCATTAAAACACTTATATTAGTAGTTGCAGTAAAGTCTAACCTCCAAGTGTTTCTAGGCACTAAAGCTAAACTGACCCCATAATAGACCAAACCATGAAATATAACTTTTCTTGCACGCCAAGTCTGATATTTATGACCATTTTTTCTTCACATTTCTAGACATTTTCAAAATAAATAGTTATCAATCTATTTTTGTTTCTTTTGTGCTGAAACATTTGCAGCTTCATTCTTAGGCTCATTCGTTTTCTTTCTTTTGCCTTTGTCTTTAGAGGCACAAACAAAATGAACACATTCTATCTTATCCTTAACCTTTTCTTTTCTTGCACACAAAATTAAATGAGCTCATTAAAAAATTATTTTTCTTTTTGACAGTAATAAAATATTTTAAACTGGCTGAACCGTAAAAAAAGAACATGACTTTAAGTAAATATGAATAATATTCCTCAGAGTGCCCTAATTAAAAGCTTTTAAGATCCTCAACCAAGAAGATGATATTGAGAGCTTGAGCAAATGATTTGATATTCTCTTATATTGTTTGGTGATTGAAATTAACAAGACATAAGAAGAAGATGATATTTATCAAAGGCAAGAGCACAACAACACACGATAACCCATAAAAACCATGGTGGCTAAGTTGAGAGAAAGGCAACAAAGTTCATTGGAGTCTTAAATCCTCCAATAACTACTTTGGTTATGTGCACTACAAACAAGGAATAAGAGAATGCAAAATATCTATTTGTATTGAACTTTAACTAAATCTAACACCTCCCAAACTTCACGGACTCGGTATTCTTGAGAAAGATTCCATTAACTCCCATTTTGTTGTGACAATTGATCCTAATTAATTCATTTTAAGACATTTTATATTTATAAATGAGTGGATCATATTAGAATGGAGAGTAATTTTTTACTTCATTTAAGGTGCCACGACAAGGGTAAAAATTTGATTCGTTGATTTAATATTTGACATTTTAAAGATATATTTAAAAGTTTAGGAGAAATATGAAAATTTTGAATTAAATGAATGTGAAAAGAGAAATAGAAGAATTGGTACTCCCCCGACTTTCTTTTTTTTTTGTAATACAAATTTATGCATAATTTGAAAAACTTAATAAGTATATTTAAAGAGAATTTTAACTAGGCATTTTAAATAAATTCTTTAAATTTAATTTTTATTATTAGAATATTTTAAATTTTAAAAAATATTTTAATCATAAATATTTATTTATTATTAAAATATTCTCTCAAATAAAATGTAAGATTTACTTTACTTTTTTTTTTTATCAATATCTCTAAAGGCATTCTCTCCTCTAAACTCCCTATCCCACTTCAAGATATTGAAGTATGAGGAATAGTCACATTTTCTATAATAATATTTGAAAATGTGTTAAACATGGTAGAAAATGTTAAGGCACAATCTTATAAATGACACTTAATAGAAAAAAGGGACCATTGTCTATACTATAAATGGTCTCTTGATGCTTTGAATTATTGTCTAGAAGATAACCCCATGTTTATATAGTCATGGTCTCTACCTTTTTTCCCAATTATATTAGATATATAAATTTATACATCCCTTATACTCATCAATATATAATTATTTCCTTAATTTCATTTCTCTACTCATTCGACCCTTAGATTAATAACAATAACAATAATAATTCTCCTAATAATCATATCCACACACACCCACCCACCCACCAAATGCCCCCACAAAAAGTCTCATTCATTCTCTTTCCCCCAATTTACTCCCACAAAACTTTATATAACCACACCATCATCTAATCATCCCATTCTTCCCTTACAACCTCTCTTCTCTCCCCTTCCCTTCACACCATTTCATCAATCTCTCTCTCTCTAACTTGATGGGTCTTAATAATCAAGATGCTGGAAATAACAACTCAAACCTTCTTCTTCTAGGTTTAGCTCTTACTCTTACCAAACAAGACACACCACCATCCAACAACAACAACAACGTTGCAAAACCTTATTCGTCAAGTAACAACAACTATGAAGCTGAACCATCTCTAACGTTGGCTTTATCTAGTTACTATGAAGAACCTCTTGATTTTTCTACACAGACAAACTCACCTCTCCACAGCGTTGTTTCGTCTTTCTCCAGTGGTAGAGTGAAAAGAGAAAGAGATGTTAGCAGTGAAGAAATCGAAGTAACGGAGATAGAAAGAGTTTCGTCCAGAATTAGCGACGAAGAAGAAGATGGTGTCACCACAGCTAGGAAGAAACTTAGACTCACCAAAGATCAATCCGCCATGCTTGAAGAAAGCTTCAAACAACACAGCACTCTCAACCCTGTAATCATAATTCAAAATCTCTTTTCATAATTTATCTTCAATCATCAATTTTTTTTTTTTATCATTTATTTATCAAACTTTTCAACAAATTTACAGAAACAGAAACAAGCTTTAGCCCGAGAGTTAAATCTAACCGCTCGACAAGTCGAGGTCTGGTTTCAGAACCGCAGAGCCAGGTAAATATTTACGTCTCTGCAGTCCGATGTTCTAACACAGCTATCACTGAACTGACGTAAGAGATTAGATGAATATTAACGTACGGTATATTAAGATATTTTTTGATGTGGTGTAACAGAACAAAGCTGAAGCAAATAGAGGTGGATTGTGAGTTCCTAAAGAAATGTTGTGAAACATTAACGGATGAAAACAGAAGACTACAAAAAGAGGTTCAAGAATTAAAGGCACTGAAACAAGCACAACCCTTGTATATGCCTATGCCTGCTGCAACCCTTACTATGTGCCCTACTTGTGAGAGGCTAGGTGGTGGTGTTAACGGTGGTTCTTCCAATAAGGGCAATTTTCAATGGCTCCTAAACCTCACTTTTACAATCCCTTCACTAATTCTTCTGCAGCATGTTGATTTGTTACTATGAAAAGGGTTAAAAGAAAAAGAAAAGAAGAAAACAACAAGAGTACTTTCCCACACAACCTTTGTATTTTTTGGTTGAGGGAAGTGTTTGTGAACTACAGCTAGCTTCTGAAAGGGTTAAAGGGTGTAATTAGTTAATACTGTAGAAATTAGTAATTGATTATGATATTACTTTTTTTTCTTTTTTTGTTCTTTTATTTTCCTTTATTATATATGTTTGTAAATTTTTATAATAGACATCATCTATATATATGAAGGTATAACTATTTTTTATCATTTGATGTTAATTTTTCTTGTGTTGTGAGTATATTATTTTTATAGATTTGATATCTTAATGCTTAAGACACATAATTTATTTGATAATTTAACTTTAAAAAATTGTTAAATAATAATTAATATTATTTTAATTAATATAAAGTTTCTCTTATCCATTTAAAAAGAACAATTATTATAAATTTGGTGGTCTCTTCTGCGTATAGAATGGTATCTCAAAAACTATACTTTAAACAACAGTTCAATATTCATAATTCTGATTAGAAGAAGAATAGAATTAATTGATATCCAAACTGATCTTTAAACCGAAAAAACTAAATTTTGATAAAAATTAATTTAATATTATAGGATTTCAGATCCTAAGAAAAAATTTATTTTTATTTATTGAATAATTAATGTAAATGTGTTAATGAGTTTAAAAAATCAATTTTTTTATTATTAATAAAACCAGAGAGTATATTGAAAAATAGAAGTATTTATGTTCATAATCATTGTGTGTTGACTCTAACAATATTGTAGCATCCTTAATTGGATGCATAAATTGATGAGTATTAAAAAGTATATAGTCAAAGATACATAATTAGAGACAATTATTAAGTTAGAGAAAGGTTCAAAGGCGTAGAGAAGGAGGTTAGGTCACGTGTTTCTGTCTGTAAATCAGTTGCTAAAAGAGTAACTGAAATAGAGAGAGAGAGAGAGTAGTTAGAGAGATAAGCTTGTGTGAAAAGAAAGGATCAATGGAAAATTAACAAAAACAAAAGAGATATTCACATTTTTTTCCTCATATTATTTATTTATCGCATTTAATTCACATATACTTTTCTTTTACTGTAAATAAAATTACACAACGTTCCAACCAACCTCATGTTGTGTCAAATTCATGTTGTATTGTATGCATCAAAATTAAATTTTAAAATGATGTATCAAAATTAAATTCATTTATTGTTATTAAGTTGATTATGATGTGTACACGTACATGGTTTATTCTCGTGATATGATTTACCCTTAAAGGTAGTTTGTAGGTCACACCTCACGTGAAGACTCAATTGCTATGGGTCTCTCTCAAAATCAACATGAGATCTTCTCTCAGGTCCTTTTTTCCATTCCTTTTTGCCTCAATTAATTGCCCCAAACATGTAATTGATTTGCATCATTGTTAATAGATATTCAAATACATGATGATAAATAATAATTAAAACAATTATACACTTTATTTTAGATCATAGACAGATTAATCTAAATGGATCACATTGTTGGACAGTGTGATTAATCTAACACTAACACACTAATTAGTGTTAAAATAAAGAACCACGACAATGTTGAACTTTTAACGTGGAAAGTGAGAAATTGAGAAAATGAGATACAGTCATTATTGAGAGTGAAAAATGATGAATGATGATTATATATATATATATATATATATATATATATATATATATATATATATATATATATATATATATATATATATATATATTGTACTAGGTTACTGAACGATAATGTTTCTACTGTAATCTGTTACAACCAAAGTGTAATCGATTACCAAATAATTGTGTTTGAGTTGTAATCAATTACACCAAACCTATAACCGATTACATGTTGCTTTTGTTTGATATTGTCAAAGGGGTGTAACCCGCAGTAATCGGTTATAGACACTTGAATTATACTCCACTTAACACACCACTTTAATTCATGTGCTCTAAGTCTTCTATACACATATGTTTCTTCGATCTCTTAAACACCTCAATCGACACTCATTTGGTCAGCAAATCAGCCACTTGGTCTTCACTTCTACAGTGGTACAACCTCACTAATAAGCTATCTCAAGTAGTGAAACCTCATTTCAATATGTTTGCTTATCCCATGTGCAATGTGATTCTTAGCAAGATTTATAGTGAAAATGTTATCAACCATGAGCATTACAACCTCACTTTCTTCACTGCACAACTCCTTCAACAAATTCATCAACCACACACACACACACACACACACACACACACACACACACAACGAAGCTGCAATATACTTGATCTCACAAGAAGAGAGTTCCACTACCAGTTCATTCTTTGAATACCATAAGATTGGCGTTTCTCCCAAACATAAAGATGTATCTAATTGTAAATTTTTTATCATCTTTATCTCCGCACTAGTTGGAATCGGTATATCCTAGTAAATTGCTCTTTATTCCCTTGTCCATTGCAGGAAACAAAATTCTGCAACCAATAGAACATTTGACATATCTTAGAGTCCTCTTGACTGCTTCCAAGTGAGACACATTCGGTCTCTCCATAAATCTAGTTGCAATTTCAACACTAAAAGCTAAACTCAATCTCGTATTACATAAGTAACTTAAGGATCCAATCACCCTTTGGCTGTTCTAGCCTTGGTTCAGCAGGGGTAATGAAAATGTTACAATGTTCCATTTAAGATTTGTTTTTCAAAATTTCAAGAGCATACATTCTTTAGTGCATGAGTAGTCCCTTAATGGACTTGTGAAACTCAATGCCAAGAAAGTATGTCATATGAACAAGGTCGGTCATCTCAAACTCCTTCGTAAACTCACCCTTGAACTTAGAAATGCAACCTTTATTGATACGTGTAATGAACAATCATCCACGTAGAGAAAAAAATTATCACCATTTCATTTGCATTCTTCTTCACATACACACCATATTTGGATACACATTTGCTCAAGACTATCTCTTTTAAGAAACCATATATCCTATTGTTCCATGCTCTCAAAGCTTGCTTCAAACCCTACAAAGCCTTTTTCAATCTTTAGAACTTTGATTCTCGATTTTTCACAATGAAACTAGGGGATTGCTTCACATATACCTCCTCTTCCAACAAATTTGACGTCCATTTGATAAATGGACTAATTATTGTTGTTTTTAATCCTAATAGCCAATCAAATGGTCTCAATTCTTGCTACTAGTGTGAATACTTCCCTAAAGTCCAGTCCCTCATTTTGAAAAAAATTACTTAGCTACCAATCTAGGTTTAGGCTTCACAACTTCTCCTTTGGGATTTTCTTTGACCTTGTACACCCACCTCACATCTATATGCATTTTCCCTTGAGGAAAATAAACTAGCTCCTAAGTCATGTTCTTCTCACTCGATTATAGTTCCTCCTTCATAGCATAAATCCATTTTGGATGATTCAAAGCCTCTTCCATTTTAACATGTTGAGATTTGGCCATAAGTGCAAAATGGACGAAGTCACCATCGTCATTAACATCGTTATCCTAAAATTGATCACAATCTTGAAATATTGCAGGAAAACCTCTTTCCCTTGTTGATTCACATGTTTTCACTGTTGTAACTGATTAAAGCGTGTTGGTAACTAGTTATTTGCTGCACTTCTTTAATTTCCTAAAAAACAATGTCACTGTTGTAGGACATGTTTCTTCACACACAAGAGGGGGATGAATTGCGTGTTTCAGAAAAATTGGTTTGGAAAAATATTTGGAATTAAAATCAGAGTTAGAAAATATTTTTAGTTTAAGCAGTGGAAAAATAAAATTGAAGAATGTAAAGTATTGAAATTAAAGAGTTTAAGGGAAGAGAGAAGACATTGGAAGTTATAGAGGTTCTATCAAACAAAGAATTGATCTTGAGAGTATACAATAAACTTTATATCTTTTAGTAGGTTAAACTCACGAACTCCCTTATATAAAGAAAAATTAAGTTTGTAGTTGACTTCTAACTAAATAGCAAAATATTGAGTGAAGCGGCGAGTCTTCCTTTCAAACGATGGATCGAAGCGGTTAGTCTCATTTCCACAAGATTGTTGGAGTGGTTAGTCTTCAAGTCTTAAACAAACCTTGGGAGCTTTTAATGCCTGGATGAGCTCTCGAACCTAAACCTTGGTTTTACTATGGGCTAACAAAAAACCTATGAGATTTTACCACGGATTGATCTCCAACATAAAGAAGCTTTTAATACCGGACTAAATTTTAATTTATACTTGGTTTTACCACTGGCTAACTAAGAGCCTATGGGATTTTACCACGGGCTGATCTCAAACCTAAACAAAAGACTTGATCACACAAATTCGATCTCTAATTTTTTTTATGGGTTTAGCTTCGAACCCAAACAAACAATCCTTAAGTGGATAAAATGTTCAACCAAGGTATAAACAAAATTCCCTTAGTGAACTTGAAAATATAACCTTATAGAATTAAAGCTTCCTCACATGCAAAAAAATAAATAATAATAAAGACTTTTTCTAAAAGCACTTCGGCTAAATTCTTAATGAGAGAAAGTAAACAAAAGAAAATTTAAGAGAGAGAGAGAGAGAGAGAGAGAGAGAGAGAGAGAGAGAGAGAGAGAGAGAGAGAGAGAGATAGATAGATAGATAGATAGATAGATAGATAGATGGATAGATAGATAGATAGATAGAGAGAGAGAGAGAGAGAGAGAGAGAGAGAGAGAGAGAGAGAGAGAGAGAGAGAGAGAGAGAGAGAGAGAGAGGTTTGAAATGAAACACATATCTGGATGATTTCAAATGAGAGAAGTGACCTCTCACTAACACAGATAATACATTTTATAACAAAGCTTTCACCTCACCCAACCAAAAACCGAAGTAAAATGCCAAGGTCCATCATGTTTTTATTTTATTTTAAAATAAATATCACATATTCCATCAGTTTCTAAATATAACCGAGGGGAAAAATAATTCAGAGCATGCTTCGATTCCCAGCAAGAACAGTTTATGTTTTTATTTCTTTA